AAATCTAATTCTAATGATTTATACTTTATGTATATCTATTTTATAATACGAGCTAATAGGATTATATAAATGTATTAAAAATTAAAGAAAAAATAATCCACTTAACTATAAATTTATTCTTTACAAAATTGTTCAATAAATTACGATTTTTGCTATTCCGTTATTCTCAAATAGAGTTGTTTTAGAACTTTAGACATTAGGTAAATATTACTTATTACAAAATAATAAAAAATGCTTAGTGTTAAGAAAATTGTTCTTTATAAAAGGTAATCATTGTTCGGGTCAAACGGCTATGCAAGACATTTACCATGAAAATCTAGGAGCCGAGTATTTTGTGCTTCATTAAACATACAAGCAAAGTACTTTTAAATCGAAAGTAGTACCTTAAATTCAACAAAGTGGATAAAACTTTTTTTTATAGACGTATTTAAAAAATAAATAAAAACTTTAAGAATACCCCTAGTTTACTTTTAAATTCGATGGTTTTCGTTTGAAGCGATTCTAACATCAAGTGGAAAACGCTCGATGAAAGTTTTTTTATGTTACTATAAAATAATACATTAAACATTTTAGTGTTGTTCAAAAAACTTTTTGGATAAACCTTAGAAAAATATTTTATTAGTAACATATAATTTTATGAAAATTATTAAATATAAAATCTATTCATAAAGTATAAGATTATTTATATTTAGTTTGAGTATGTTGTCTAAATTACTCCTCTCCAAAAAAATCTTCCAAGACAACTCATAATAAATACTTATTATATGCAATGATGAAAACTTTAAATCATCCAGTTTTCAAATTTTGAAATAATATGTTAATTGATATTATCGATGAAATAAATTTAATTATTTTTAGGTTTAAGTAGGAAATATTGGGAAACAAACGGGCAATATTTTAAAAACGATTTAAAATTACATTTGTCGTTAGAAAAATTAATTGATACTTTTACAAGTAATATTTAAAATAATTGGCTGTACTCGAATAAAAATATATCTGTTGATTGCCTGACAACGACGAACGTCATAAAAAGTCGACAAAAGAAAAAAATATTTTTCATATTACTATTAGAGTATGGGAATAGAATACAAGATATTTAATCTGTTCTTTTACATAAATAGTCAAAGCTTTCTATTGAATATGAATGAAGCAAAAACGTATCGAAGAATAGACAATAATCAGAAATTGTTGGACATCTTTAAAATCCTTTCATATTTTATCATTTATATAATGAAAATATTACTCTCGTACAATGTACGCATCCTTTTCATACTTCATCGGTCCCTTTGCAACACCCTTTGATGTATTATATATCATAACCCGGATTGGCAGTGCTGCACATAGTGTCTATATTCATTTGCAGCAGGCTTCACGTATTATTAGCCCCTCGCAATATATCAGAAAATTTAATAATGCACATCTCTTTACGATCTGGTTGTCATTCTATACTCTGATACTTGAGGGAATCACAGAACTATTGTATGATTTCCTCTTTGGCTTTTCGGAAGATTATAAGTATAACATTTTATGTTGATTGATGACACAAATACTAATGACTGAATGTCAATAGCTACAATAAAAGTATAGGAAAAATAACAATATTGGCCAACAGGTGTGTGTGTGTGTAGCAGAAACGCATGTTACAATTTTAATACAATTTTCATAAATAAAAAAAAGGATTCTTTCAACGAGTTTGAAAAATATTTTGAAATGATAAAAGGAAATATGCGTTGACAATGTTCATTATAGTTACACAAAATTCGTTCAGGCGTGGGGTTGAAAAATGCACGTCATTCAGAAAATGTATAGTACAAACAAATGAATGTGATGAATATTTATGGTTATTTCGACGATGGTAGTTTTTTTTAATGGAATAGTAACAAATTAAATGAGATGAACGATGAATTACATCTATGCCAAAAATTGTTTTAAAGGTTCTTGGCATTGTTCTACTAATATTAACTTGTCGGTTAAGTTCAAGGGCGTTCTTTGGTGAAGGTTAAGTTGTAAAAAAAATTTACGAACATAGAAATCTAACTTAAAAAATTACTATAAAAATGTAGTAATTTAACAATTTACTTGCAGTATAAATTTACATATCTAAGAAAATAATTACATGAATGGGCGTAATATTGTAAGACCAAAGTATACATCATTATGTTTTCTCAGACCATTAACAAATAAATAAAAATAATTAGGAAACCAACACCTCCACTAATGACTTACGTCTATTAAACAATTTTCATAATAACTTTGAGTTGATTTTATTTCATGAATCATAAAAAATGATGGGTTCACTATTATCGAGTTGCCATTCGGAGGTCGGAATTTTGTATTCTGAATTAATTTCATTACAAAATTACTGCTGTAATGATAAAATAATTATTTTTTCGATTATATTAACAGCGTAAACTTTTTGGGTTAGATCTAGTCTAGGTGCAGTAACTTCCATTATAATTAACTGATTCAACATAGATAATTTTATCTTAGATATACACAGTGCTATTAGAAACTCTAAGGTAACCGTTTTTACTTGTTATACGATTATAAAAATAGACATTTTGGTCACTAGTGTTTTAATAAAAATCGAGTAATTAGACAGAAAAACTTTAAGCTATCTATGAATAAAATAAAAAAAGCGTGAATTTGAGTATAAAAGACTAACTATGAATCACTTACTTTATTTCAGTATATTACGTTAGTCAGAAACGGAAATAAAACATTGGGTTCGTTTCAAGTCACTACAATATTTCATTGAAAAACTAAGTTTTAAGATAATGAAATTAATCAAAATATTTAACCAACTAAAATTAATCAAGAACTTTAGGTAAGATATACACATTAGAATGTAAACTGTAACGCAGTATATGTTTTTATCGACATAAATTTTATAGATTAAATATCACTGAACATAAAGATGAGGTGCATCTTTTAACTGCGGGAATATTGTTATATATATTGTTATCAAATATAAATTTAGGTATTAAAATAAACTTTTATTCTATTAGTTTGTTATTTATCAAAATGTATATACATTAATTTACATTATTACAATGTTAAATAATATGCAGTTTACAATTGATTCGTGCAACTGTCATTTGTCTCTTATTATGCTTCTGAATTGCTAAAACTTAGAAACAATATTTCATGGTATTTTCTTTTAAATAGAGGGATGTTGGTGAAGGGTGACAGAAAATTCGGATTTCTACTCTTCGTTTACTCCAACCATAATACTTTATAAAAGCGTACGCCGTTATGTCCGATTGTATTATTGAAGTAGTTGTTATAAGTGCGTCAAAATCAATCATCTGTGTATTTTTTACTTTCTTATGTATTCATTCTTGACATTTTGATCAATACGGCATTCTAAAGAAAAACATAATAATTCTTTCAATTAATGAAAGTGAAGTCACAACGCCATAAAAATGTTTAAAAATTATTCGCTCGTAAATTTGTTCTTCCAAAATAATATTACACCGAACAATTAATAATTTTCAAAAGTCATGAAACATTTATTAAAGTAATTTATTTGCCGTCTAACGTAATCTTTTATTATAAATTCAAGATATAGACAACTCAACTTTATATTCTTAGAGAATTATTACATCATGTTAACGTATTTTTCGTAGCGTTAATTATTATGTCTGAGTCTTGGAGTTATATTGACTGAAATCTTAAGGTTACAATTTTTATAAATGACAATGACGTTCTTTCACAAATTCTACTAACACTATCTACCTCAAAGTATTAGCGCTACTATATTTTTGACTTGTATAACTATTGCTGTCTTATAAAATATGTTTATAATATGATGCCAATTTTTGTTACTTTAATGAATCACCATCAAGGGTCAGTGAACAAACTAAGGAAAAAAACACATAATTCTTCTTGGAAGGAAAATTTGGCATCCAATTACATGATGACAATAATCTACCGCTAAAATGACATCATCTTCTGTATCTTTTTATATAATTACCAAACCCATAATTATTATCTTATGAATGCCATCTGTACATTAACGTTTACTGTGATACGCTAAAACAATGACACATAAATCAAATATATTCTATAATCGCCAAACAAATTTTCAAACGTTGTTTAACAGCTTTTATCTAGTGAACTACACAAAAACGTATAATAAATAACGACAAATATTATTTCATAGTGGTAAGAGATACTTTTCGTATACCCAAAAAACATTCGCTTTTGCCATTCAAGCTTTAAAATTCATACTGATTTAGCCACCTTTGTTTTTTATTGTTTACGTTTTTAAACTTCTGTAATAATTCTAAACTCTACTATCGTACTGAAAACTTCTTTAAATGAAGTTTCATTCGATTTCGGCTTAATAATCTTAATTTTAGATTAGAAATTATTTGAAAATTGAATTTTACAAGAAAAATATTCTAAAAGAAGTTTAAAATTTAAAAAATAAAAATTTATTTTTAATATTCTTTAGTTTTTAATAAATTTTTTAGACTATTTCGAAAATATTTTGGACTATTCAATTTGTACTGATAAAGTGAATGTAGTTTTAAAACTAGATGATCAAAATTACAAAAAAATGTTACTAATTATTAATTAAAACTACTATTTATTTGTATTTATATATATATATATATATATATATATATATATAATTCTATTGTAAATTTGTTTGAAAGTTTTTTTTTTATTTTTTTGAGATTTACTTTTACAATGGAATTTGACTAGTAAACTTTTTTTTTTTTTTAGTTATTAAATAATAAATGCAGATAATATTCTAGTAGTAAATAAAAAACATTTTAAAGTAAGTTTTTTTTTCAATGTTGGCATTGGAAGATATAATATTAATACATTCTATGTACTATTTAAAAAAAATTAAATGTATTAATAGCTGCTGTTTCAAATTCTTGGTAAATCACTATTTTTATATTGAATTGCAACTGACAAAAACACAAAAAATTAATACAACAATTTTTAATGGTGGAAATAAAATACCAACATCATAAATGAATAATATTTGATGTCACGTTCAACAGCAAATGATAGAGAGTTTGGGTTATGTTAATAGGACACGTGTGGCTTATAGCTTTGGTTGTGATCATATCCAATACTTAAAGGTATAGTAGTAACGATAGAAAGTGTATATATTTCGTATATATTGAATGTATTAGATACCCCACAGTAAGGTATCGCTTCATAAATTATTAACCCAGTTGTGTATAACATTATATTATTATTATTTTGTCGGTAGATTTTACTATAGTTACAGCCACCGACTAGCAACTATCACTTTGAAGATGGACTCTCCGAAACGTCACAACTCAACTGTAAACATGAATAAATCCTTAAGAACTTCAAGCAACAAGACAATCCATGAAAGCTTTAACACATTCATAGCTTTTACTATTCCAACAAAAGTAAGTAATGATAATATTTCGCTGTTTTGGGTATATAAATGAACATTAAACTATTTAACTATCAATACAAATTTTAGTTCACATGTCTTCATAACTAATAAATGAACAAAATAAAACTAAGAGAGTGCCCTCATTAAATTGATAATGGAAGTAGTTTCGGCAAAATAATGATGTTTAAATCTCACAAAATTTAAGTAATAAGTATTTACTAAAAATTGTGCACGATAAGATTTATTTTAATGTCAGTTAGTTTTTATTCTTATATATTATCGTGTGATAAATTTTATAACATTAAAACCAAAAATATTTACAATACGTTCGCTTGTGAGACCTCGTGCTAGACGGTTTGTAAATATCCACTATCTTTAAAGATAAGTAAAATCGGGTAAACGAAGCGTGCCTGTCACTACGCCTATCTTTCCATTTACTTGCGAGATTTCCAAAACTTGAGAACGCGATACTCATCGGTACACTGGTGTGTATGTTCATATATATACAACACAAGCGCACTTGATTCAACTATAGACCATATCTGATTGAGGTCTTAAGATTCTGAACGGCTCATTACTTGGGACCTAACATAATTTGAGAAATAATATTTTAACCACAGTAGAACGAATCGGGCGTGTAGGCAATTAAAACGATCTAATACAAAGCACAACTAAAGGAAGTTTTCAAAGTCGCACTTCATACTTACTTAGATGAAGAGTATCAGTAAATTATTGTACAAAATTATTGCCATTGACAATGAGATTATTAATTATTGAATGTCTACGAATTCAACGTTACTCTTTTAATGAAATGTAATCCAAATATTACACTGACGACTTTTCGATTTGCTCTTACGATCAATTATACATCATGAATGGAATTCAGTTGGTTATGTTGAAAAATAAATCCCAACAGTTAAATAAGTAATAATGTTATGCCTCCAATTATATTCTGTCAAATAATTTCCGAGGAACATACTATAGTAAGTTGAGCATATTATTATTTCAAGTCAATTTATTTGAACTATTTAAAGATCCAAATTTCAAGAATTCAAAAATGTTTTCATTTTTTTTTTTTGTTGGATAATATAAAAATAAGATAAAAGAATCGAGCATCATTACGAATTCACAAAAACTTTACTTTTGGTTTTATCTCAGAAATATGTCACTGGAGCGTGGATGAAATAATCCGATTTGTTGATGAATCCCCTAAAGATTTCTCACCCCTACCAGCTATAAATTGCCGCCGGGGACTACTCAATATGGAAGTCCAAGGTGAACACCCGAATGATACGTGCAAGTTCTAGTTGAAGGAGCATTCAATTTCCGTTGCACGAGTAAGCTTTAGAAATAAATGGGGTCTACGTTATGCAGTCAACAAGGGAGTAAAGGTACGCTTTGGGTAGCTGCGTTTATTACATTCGAATTAAGTTATACTTTACCATTATATGTGTGTCCTTTATTGTACGGGTTACATGCGTATATCATAATAATAATGGTAAATTTTAGACAGTGACAGTAACCGGTGCTTTCATAATTCTTTGATCGGCCATTGTTCCGGTTCCACATTTCAGTCGTCTATTGGAAATTGATCCTACGTTTAAGTATACATTGAATCCACGTCAATGTGACTTCTGTCTAAAATTCCATTACAAAACTGGGTAATACATTTCAATGGCTGTGGTGAAATTTAGTGTAGTTTATAGAATAAATATATTAAGTCTTATATCTCGCGTTTGTATATTATTTATGTTTTAGCATAAAATACCATATTCAATGTTATGCAGCAGTTACAAAAATATATCAAATAAATTATTGTTGAAGATAACCTTTAAAATAAAATAAATTACTAACGTCAAACATATACGGATATACTTTTTTAGCTTCGATGCGAAGCGGAGAAGGTATTAATTTTACTATGATGTGTTTTTTTTTTTTTTTTTTTTTTTTTTTTTTTTTTTTT